AACGTTTTTCGAGGATGTTACGACCACGAAACGGCAAGGATGCTTTTTCCTAGATTCCTCAAAGCCGGAAGGACAATTTGGGAGAAATTTCGGGAGAAAAAACATACGAACATGGAATTCCCAAGAATGTATGCCGAATTTATTGATAGGTCGGAAAGGTCATATTTGATCATATTTGGATCATTCTTATGCCTCTAAACTGTTCCATCTTTGATATTGTCTGTGAAATTACAGGGAACGGTACGCTAACGACGCTAAAGATAAGTTTGCAAACCTCGAACGGGAAAAATCACTTTTGTATCCTGAATTCACAAATATCCAATGATCTTATATTTCAATATGTGGACATACATAGAAACATAGAATGTAGATATATCTAATACAATCTAATATATATATATATCATCTAAATTCATCTAATAAAATCTAATTTAATATATGATATATACCTACTATACATACATATGTTGGCGCTCTCCGACCAACATTCCGGGGCATGTGCGAAAAATGTCAACATGCAGACGGCCTCTGCCTTTGGTTTGGCTTCCTCCTGGAACGCCTTTCCTGGCGGTGAAGCGATTCAGCTATTTTTATCGGGAAAAACAGAGCGGTTCAGTTTGGGTATGATGGATTTCATGAATATCCAAAAGTTATAGACTATTGAAACCATAGTTGAATTATTATAGGCTATATAACTAACCATATATGAAATAGGCTTATTGAAACCAGTTGAATATATATATATATATATATATCCATGATGGTAAAGAAAACTATATAGTTATATCATGTTATATCCATCTTCATGAAGATATTGATAATGGACAGTCCAGACAGGTATTTTTCATGGGTTAAACCATGAAAATCTGGGATTTGACCAATGTCAAATCGGCGAGCATCATGGGACATGGTGTACCCTGGACATGTTCCAACCAGGAAACTAGTTATAGTTCATTGATCATCAAATCAAATTACAAATCAAATAAGTGTTTGCATGGGTTTACATGTGCCCTTTCGATCTATTACACAAGTAAGAAATCAAACATGTGTAATCAACAGTTTTTGCGGTTAGTGGCTTGAGACCAGATATATAGAATGTCTTTGCGGATCAGGTACGGACTTCGGTGTTCCCATGGATTTTCTTATCGATGGCTTTCCAGGAGTAGACTGGTTGGTGGTTTCAACCCCTCTGAAAAATATGAAAGTTGATGGGAAGGATTATCCCATATATTATGGAAAAATATGGAAAATAAAAAATGTTCCAAACCACCAATCAGTACATACTGTGGATGGAAGAAATCCTGCACCACCTGGGATGGTTGAAACCCTAGTAATAATGGGATAAACCATATATCAACTGGTGCAGGATTTCTTCCATCCACAGTATGTTCGGCATTTTTTGGTAACACCAGGTGTCAAAGCTGGCAGGTGTTTCATCCACCTCAAATATTCAGGCAGGTGATTCTGCCAGCTGTTCCCAAGCCACAAATGGGCTAGCGGTTCTCATCTGTTCTCCTCATCTTTTGCGAGTCCCATGTTACCATGTTCATTTGGCATAGGAAGGTGCCATGTCTTTTGTTTTTTGGTATTCAAGAATATGCTCTGGCAATCAAACTCAGTGGTTGGACAACATGGCCATGTACAAATCGACGACATTCCGGTTGCTAGCCATGTTTCTTCACTTTACTCATCTGTGTCTGAGTCAATGTTCAACTTTGGAATCGACACCTGTACTCTATGTCCATGTCTTATCCATGTCAAGTCATCGCCAAAGATTTAGGATGTTCTCAAATATATTCAAATATGGGTTTGTCTGAAAATAGGATACCGTTTAGTCATCGTGTTCCCTCGCAAAATGCAATCGTTGGATATCGTTGGTGGTGTAATTACCTCATTAAACCACCACCATTGAAAAAATACTGCCCATTAAATCCCATTCTCTACAGGGAAAATCCACTTCTCAAACACACCCAGATGGATCCAGATATCTCCATGTTTGCTGGTTTTGGTCAACGACATTCCTGGATTGTGACCCCCGAAGTCTGCAACATGACAGCGGCACTGTCGTGCACATGTTCAAGAATTGGCAGGTCCTGCGCGAGACATTTTGGAGAAGACATTCTATAGAGGCTGCAAAAAAAAAAAATCAACCCAAATCTTGATTTAAGAAACAACAACGCTGATTTCAGCAACAAGAATGTGTCAACCTCAAATCAATGGGAATTCCAGGATATCCCCTTACATAGCCCTTATATAGGCCTTATATATGGTAGGTACCTCCATTTTAGGATCCTGAAATTCCCATTGATCAAAAGTTCAGATTGAACTAAAATTAAAATTCACGAAAAGTACCGGCATATACAGGGGATCGCCCCACAAACATCACAGTTTCGATGGCCTCGTTTTTTATGTACTTCGCACGGGATTCAAGGTTGGATATTCTCAAGGGGTGGAGAGGCCAAGTGACAAAGATTCCCAGACATGGTGGCTATCATTCATCTACAATGGCTTCAAGCTAGCTGATTCATAAGTTATTTTCTTCTCAGCCGTCCAACTGTAGATGTTTGTTTTACTCGATACCCTCTGGTGATCAAACGTGGCAGTTTTAAAAAAATATGTGAATGCTGGTTGGTGGTTTCAACCCCTCTGAAAAATATTAGTCAGTTGAGTATTCCCAATATATAATGGAAAATTATAATTCAGGTTCCAGTCACCACCAACCAGAATGAGTTTGAATAAGTTTAAATGGAAAAAATACCCTCTGGTTATGACTAACATAGCCATGGTATAGATGGTCCATAGAAATAGATGGTTTACCGTTCTTTAAAATGGTAATTTTCCATGGCAAACTGTTAGTCATAACCAGATGGTAATCTATAAACTATACCCTCTGGTAATTTAACATAGCTATTGAAAATGGCCATTTATAGTGAGTTTTCCCATTAAAAATTGTGATTTTCCATAGCTATGTTATTTTAGCAGAGGGTAAACGGTAGATTTTCCAGCCAGCCAGGTTGAAACTTACTGGAGGGTAAACCAAACAACCCCAGCCGGATTTCGGCAACGCAAAACAGCCATCCCAACTGGATTAGAAACCTTAAGGGCGACCAATAGATCAACCCAAGAATAAGATGATTAGTAGTCGGATATAGCTAGGATATAGCTGGACAATCATGAGGATTATCAAAATCTTATGTAATAAAATGGGGATAATACTGGGGAAATAATTGATATATGATGAATCATCTGGTCTTGGGGTGCCATATTTTCAGACAAGCCGATCTTTAGCATATCATCCCAGTGGCAGAAATAGACAATGAATAGCACCCTCCACCGGGTTTCGGGGGCTTCCGAAAAAAGGGCTACCCCCAAATCATCCAAGTCATGGATGACCATGTGATTTTTTGAAAAAAAAAAACAACACTTTTGGGTACCCCCATTTTAGGAAACCTCCATAATATAACAAATAACATAGGCCCTGAACATGGACATGTTTTAGTGGCAAGTAATCTTCCAAACCCCCTATTTGGCATGGTCTATGTCAATTTGGGGGAGCAAAACATATTGAAATACTCGGTAATCCACGTGTTCACACGTTCAGCCCTTTTTGCCAGATGTTTCTTCCCAGCAGAATTGACATGTGTACATACAAAGTGGGACTCCTAAATTCCTAAGTTGGTCTAAAACTCCAATAACTTTGGTTTATGAGACTTACAACTATAGCTAATAGGGTTTATAAACCAACTTGTAACTACGGGGCCACCAGATTTTGTGGATGTTTTCAAAAATATGGGATGCCCCAAAATCTGTCAAAGAGGTGCTGAACCACCAATTTCATGACGAAGTTGTGTGGTCACATGTTCACATTTGGGTCTCTCCTAATCTCTCCTAAAATATGATCAGCAATATGATCATATGGTACCCCAATTTATGTGATTGCTGATCATCATGCTCTCCATTCATTGCTGACCATGTTGGGGGTCCCAGATTTTTGGACAACCCCTAGAAAAACACTGTATTGAAGCCATATAGAAATCTTCAGCCCACACCAACCCTTACTGCCCACAAAACACCTTCCATTGTGACTTCTGCCACTGAACATCGCAGGCGCACATCTGTGTGCACCCCTGGACCTGGCTCAAGTCAATTTGGAGTCGCAATGCACATACAAAATTGCAAGTTGACTTCCAGTTTTTGTTCGGTTGGCCAGTTTGAAAACCCAGCAAGTTCCGAAACTTGAAATAAGTCTGTCCCCCCATTTCTGAAGAAAGCTTCGCCAATGGCGTACTAACTGCTTGTGATTCTCCCGTGTACTATTGATATTATCATGAAACGTTTCTGCAATTTTATTTTATTTGCTGGTACTAATTTATAAAAACCAGCATTTATATTATCATGTACTATTTATATTATTTATATTTATATTTCCCCAAAGAAAAAAAACGTGGTTTTTCCAATGACCATTCTGCCAACTTGCATTGGATCCCCAGCGGTCATCCCAGAATCCCATGCATCATAGGTCAATTGATATGTCCATTCTTTTGGAAAAGATTATACGTATTTCGTATACAGTATACATATTTAGTATATACATATATATATGTGTATATATATATATTTTGTGAATTTCCAATAACTTCCTGCTTTACTCCACCATCAGGTTGCCTTTCATGCATTCATGTGAACCCATGTTCATGATGCCGCAGACGTGACTGCTGTGGTCAGCGAAGGGGTGGATGTGGGAGGTAAATACCTCTTGAGCCATAGACGTTTGCCGTGGCCGGCATTTGCAGAAGCTTGGGTTGCTTGGATTCCGATCGAGCAGAAGCTGAGTGGTGAAAAGGTGTGGCCGCCTTCCAATTGCGATTGAGTGTGGATCCTTGGTGTTAGGATACTGGTTGTGAACCAATCACATTGGTAGCGGGAGCCTCCTAACCAGGGGGTTCCTTACAGAACTGGAAAGGTCAAGCTGAGGGAAAAGTTTGGTTTGGCCGACAATCATGTCGGAAGCTTCTGGCGGCACCGAGACACAGGTGCCTACACAGTTGACAAACCTGGTGCCACAGTTTGATCCTGCTCAACATGACTTGGAACAATATACTCAGAAGGTAGAACTGCTTTCAAGTATTCGGCCTGCAACGAAGATGAATGAACTTATCACACGTCTCATACTCGGAACAAGTGGAGCTGCGTTTCAGAAACTACAGCTTCAACGAAGTGAAATGATGACTGGAGATCAGAAAGGTGTTGAACGCCTTGTGACCATCCTTGGAGGTCAATGGGGCAAAATATCACTGGAGAAGAAGTATGAAACGTTTGAAAAAGCCATCTACCGTTGTCAGCAGAGAAATGATGAAAGCAATGACAGCTACCTTGCTAGAGCCGACGTCCTGTGGACAGAACTCTTGACAAGCCAAGTGTCCTTGCAGGAGTTGCAAGCATATGCAATTCTCAGAGGATCGCAACTGTCAGCAGAGGACAAAAAGCGTGTTATTTTGGAATCAGAAGCCACCACCAAGGGAGTGCTCGACATATCCAAAGTGAACGCTGCTGTGAGAATGCTTGGATCAGGGTTTTTTCATGATGTCACAGGTGCCAAAAAGGTCAAAGGGAAGATCTATGACAATCAGGCTCTCATAGCCGAAGATGTAGCTGAATCAGAACAGGTCTTGGTAGCAGAGGAAAGCTTCGAAGAGGACTTCGTTGATCAGTTAGCTGCCGAGGGTGATGAGGATGCAATCTTAGTTTGTGAGTATGAGTCGGCCATGCAGGACACCATTCAGGAAGATGAAGAGCTAGCCCAAGCCTACAATGCATACACCGATGCCAGAAAAAGGTTGAGCGATCGGTTCAAGAACAGGGGATTCTGGTCTAGCAGTGTTTCTTACAAGGGCAAGTCAAAGGGATTCAAAGGAAAGGGAAAAGCCAGCATGAAAGGAAGCCGCAAGAGCTTACAGCAACGGATTTTTGAATCCAATTGCCGCATCTGCGGCAGGAGGGGGCACTGGAAATCAGAATGTCCAGACAGGCCTCGGAACACAACAGGTCAGTTTTCCTCAAACCAGGCACCTACCATGACGGTGTCAACAATGCCAGAACCGTTTCCCACCGACGAAACCTTGCTTTTGGAGTTCATGATGCTGCCAGAAGTTCATGATCAGCCGATCGATGATGCCAGTCAGCAGCCAGCTCATGTCAATGTTTGTAATGGGGTAAATCAAAGGGGGTGTAAACATCCTAAACTGGGGTATTATCTTGCTAGATGGCGGGATAACCGTAAATGGGGAATCATTTCACCAATAATTCAGCATCCGCTCAGGAGTGAAGCCAGTCTCCTGAGAAAGCAACCGTGCCAAAATGAGCCAGCCACCGCCGTGCATTTTGCCGAGAAGCTCGCAAGTGACGAGCAAATTTTGTTTGCATCCCATGGAACACATGGTATCCTAGATACCGGAGCGACCAAAACGGTCATGGGTAGTAATCAGGTGTCAGAGCTGCTGCAGCAACTCCATCCAGAGATCCGGAAAAGCACGTACAGATGTCAATGCAAGATCACCTTCAGGTTCGGAAATGAGGGCACGTTGGACAGTCAGCATGCAATAGTCATCCCAATAGGTCAGGTGGGTCTTAAGGTTGCCATAGTACCTGGAGGAACACCTTTGTTGCTGTCAAATTCACTGCTTCGAACCTTGAAGGCACAGGTAGATGTTTCCCGAAAGGTCCTGGTCAGCCCGTTTCTGAAGAAACCTGTGAGTCTCAACCTCAATGACAGAGGTCTTTTTCTGGTAGATATCAATGAACTTGCCTTGTCATCAAGGGCAACAGGACCCGCAGCCGAGACCTTTATGCACGATGCACTGGATGCGAAGTCAGTCCAGGAAACAGGGGTGAGCCCAGCCAGATTGAGTTCACATGCCAAGCCTGAGCATACTACCATGATTGAATCACCATCAGATGGGACACAATCATACCCACACACACATCGCACACCTCATAAACTGACACCACTCAAGTCCTCAAGTTCTCACCAACATGATGCCAACATGAATGCTCATGACACTCACAATTATGACAACACGATCGGAAAACATTCAACTGCAAGGAACATGATGTGTCAAAATAATGCCAGTGATGTGGATGCTTTTCAGCCTGGGTCCGAGAAGCCACTCGATCGACCACCAAAAATACCGCACTGCCAGCATGAGCCTGTCCGAGCGCCTGAGCCGTCTCAGCTCCTCCAAGGGAGATCCAGAGGAGATGGAAAAGTTCAAGATGCTATCTCTGGAAGAGATGGGATCGTCACCCATCACCTTCGGAAAGGCACATTTGGGCCGTCCATATGCCGAGATCTGGAATCAGGAGGCCAAGTGGCTTCAATGGTTTGTGCGCACCTACGAGACATCCCAGAAGATCGATCACATGAAACTGCTGCACTATGTGACTCTCATGATCGAGAGGTCCGAGACGGAGACTCCCACAGAGCCTTCACAGATGCCAGTTCCTCGAACCAAGCCCAAGCCGAAGAGTCAGCCAGCACAGATGGTGTCAGAGATATCGGACGGGGAGGAGGACACGTGGCTAGAGATGCAGAACCCGCCAACATACTCCCTGACCGCCATGGAATCCGAGAACATCATTGCCCTGCAGACACGAATGAATCACCTGGAAGGAGCTGTGAGCGAGATTCTCGGCCTCTTGAGGAACAACCAATGAGTGACTCAATGTGGGCCACGGGACTCCAGAATGCAGGAGACTTGGACAGCGATGATGTTTGTTGCCATGCCACTCAAATTTCTCAATATCAAAAACAGTTTCAAGAACTGGTACACCAGCTGTCCAAGGAGTTCCAAAATGCATTGAAGCAAGTCGAGCCACGCCAGGGTTCCAAGCTGCCTGTCCTAGAGGTGTTTTGCAGTCCTCAAAGTGAACTGACACGTCAAGCCATAAACATGGGGTACCGTGCTGAGCGTTTTGGTTTCCAACAAGGGGACTTATCAACAGTTGAGGGTAGAGGTGAGTTGTTCAGAGTCATCGTTCAGAAGCAACCTCAAAACCTGTGGTTTAGCCCAACATGTGGACCATGGTCCTCCTGGAACAACCTCAATGCAGCAAAGTCCGTGTCAAGTTTTGACACCATCCACCGTCAGCGACTGCAGCACTTGTATCAGATCGCTCTTGGCGTCGTTCTGTTCAGGTACCAGTACTCACAGAAAAGACACTTCCATTGGGAACAACCTCGTCGGTCCCTTATGTTCATGACACCACTGCTGAGAGAGATCTATGAATATACCTACAGTGCTAAGTTTGATCTGTGCAATGTAGGCTCCCTCAAAGATCCCGAAAACCATCGGTTCATACAGAAGGGGCTGGAAGTCCGCACTACATCATATTTCGTGTACAGTCAGCTGCATGGTAGGTACTGTCGACACGATCATGAACATCAAGTGCTGGAAGGATCGACTGTTCACCACGGGGTTAGAAAGAATCGGACTGAGTTTTCTGAAATCTATCCACGGAAATTTGCTCGTAGCCTTGCCAAAATGTTGACCAGTTTTGCCAATATCCGATCAGAGCCAAAAGAATTTTCCCAGTGGAATGAGGTGTTTGCTGCAGCCGTGAAACGACAGTCACCCGACCGTGCTGGGACAAAAGAGTCACCAGCAAAGCGCATCCGTGCCAACACTGCCAGGAGACTTGAACCACCAGCAAACTCCAGCAAAAGAAGACGTAAGGGTGATGTTGAATCAAAAGAATCCCACATGACTCAACGGGATAACCTATATGAACTTTGTGAGAAGGTCCACCATAATCTTCCCAGGGTAGGTCGCAGAGAGGTTTTTGATCCAGAAATCATCCAAAGCATCCAAGAAGCGTTTGGAGACAAGAAAGTGGTTCGTGTCCTTGCCTGCAAGGGAACCGAGCGCATGCTGCCACCTCCCAAGAACATGATGCATGGGGAAGCCCCATTCCGGAGAACCATAGCACTTGAACGAGGTACCAAAAGGGTATGGGCTGAAAATGAATGGGAGGAATGGGAAACGATTTCACAGAGACAACTCATCAGAGGCTTGATCCCTTGTGCAGTGAATATCACAGTGTTTGGCTGCAATCTATCGGAAACGTCACCCAGCTCAGCCGAAATTCAGCCAGGACAGGAGTCCCAATCCATTGTCCCGGTGGACAAAATGCATTCGACTCCTATAAAGGAAACGACTGCACAAGACAGTATTGCGGAACCATCGACATGCAAACCCAAGACAGAGCCATCCGATCAAGACATGTTCTCACGTAACTTGCAGACTGATTGCGAGAGTTCCAATCAGGGTCCCAAATTCAAAGCACTATCCGGATATGAAAGACAGACACTACTCCGGTTGCATAAGAATCTTGGACACCCATCCCCACAAGTGCTCGCACAGGTGCTTCGTCAACAAGGATATCCCAGTCATCTGATCAAAGGACTTGAAGATATGAAATGTTCAACTTGTGTTCAACATCAAGCTCCCAAAATCCAGAGACCTGCAACGCTGAAATCAGAACTTGACTTCGGGGACAAAATATCAGTTGATGGTATAACCTGGCATAACAAGAGCAATGATCGATTCCACTTTTACCACTACATTGATCATGGTACCAATTACCACACCGCCACGATTGCCCCCAACAGAACCACAGAATGGGCCATGGAAAAGATAACCGTAGGCTGGTTGTCATGGGCTGGACCGCCAAACGAGGTGGTTGCCGATTCCGCAACGGAGTTCAATAACCCTGAGTTTGCTCAGTTCCTTCGGCAATTCAATACCAAACTTACCATCATTCCACCACAAGCCCATTGGCAATTGGGCAAAACTGAGAGACATGGAGATGTTCTGCAACACATGCTCAACAAGTATCAAGAAGACTTCCCAATCGAAAACTACAGTGACCTGCAAAGAGCTCTCACGGTTTGCACTGCCGCTAAGAATGCCTGTAGCCTGCGTCATGGTTTTGCACCTGAAGTGCTTGTGTTTGGAAAAGGTTTGAAGGTCCCTGGGTCACTCACAAGCGATGACACATTGCCAGCTCATAGCCTAGCCAATGAAGACACAGCCTGGGGTATCAAATTCCGAACGCAACTTGCCATGAGAGAGGGTGCCAGAAAGGCCTTTCATGAGGCTGACAACAAGGCAGCCATTCGCCGCGCAGCTTTGAGACGTGAAAGACCAAGCAGGGGGTTCTACAACCCAGGGGAATGGATCATGTATTGGAGATCAGGGGAAACCACCAAAGGTTGGAATGGCCCTGCCAAGGTCATTCAACAAGATGGCAGGTCATCAGTGTTTTGCCTGCACAGAGGCACACTAGTCAGAGCAGCTCCCGAACATGTTAGACCAGTAAGTGCCCTTGAAGCTCAAGAAATACCACATGTTGTGCCACCCAATCAGGATGAACGAAGCCACATGAGCCAACTCCTTAATAACTTGCCAAGCCCACATGATGAGACTCTGAATCCCAACATTTCCAATAACACAATCCATAACGATAACCCATCAAATAACAATGTGACTGGCCCACAGAGAACAATGCCCGAAGCCATGCAATCAATCCCAGAAGGGGAAAATCCGGAAGGAGAGAATCAAAACCTATCACCTAACAGCCACTCAAGTGTACAGCCAGATCAAGAACCAGAACTCGAAGTCCAGCAACCACCAACCGAGATGAATAATCCCAACATAGCCGTTGAAACACCAGTTCCAGATGATGATGAGCTGGTCTGTGACCTGTTGACTTGCACCGATGCCAACGTCGAAATGCCTGAACCTTCTGGCACCAGCTATGCATGGCGAATGGAACTCGATGTCCCTGAGGTGATTTCAAATGATAGCTATATGCCCATAGAAGATCTCATTTATGTAGCTACAACTCAAAGGAAACAAAGAACCGAAGTGAAATTGAGCACACTATCACCTGAGGAAAAGGAAGAGTTCGAAAAGGCCAAGCAGAGTGAGGTCAACAATTGGCTTCAGACGGGAACCGTCAGCAAAGTCTTGCGTGATCAACTGTCACCAGAACAGATCTTGCGTTGTCGCTGGATACATGTCTGGAAGCCAATAGAGGACCCAAAGGAGCAGCACAGACTTGGAAAAAGCCGAAAGGCCAAGTCAAGACTAGTTGTCTTAGGATACTTGGACCCAGAACTCGAGACCATTCCAAGGGATAGTCCAACTTTGAATCGACAATCACGAATGTTAATTCTTCAAATGATTGCTTCCTTAGAATGGACCCTCAGATCCTTTGACATCAAAGCTGCCTTCTTGCAGGGTAGGACCCAAGAAAACCGCACCATAGCAATTGAGCCTGTCCCTGAGCTCAGTAAGGCAATGAATCTAAAGGAAAAGGAGGTGTGCCGATTGGAAAAATCAGCTTATGGTCTCATCGATGCACCATACCTGTGGTATAAAGAACTAGACCGCATACTCCGACAGCTTTCCTTTATTCCATCCCCATTTGATCCATGCGTTTACCTCTTGTACAAGGAAGGGTCAGACAAACCCTCCGGTGTAATTGGTATGCACGTTGACGATGGACTGTGTGGTGGAGATGATTACTTTGATGAACAGCTCAGTAAACTAGAGGCAATCTTTCCGTTCGGAGCCAAAAAGACACACAGCTTTACTTTCACAGGGATCGAAATGAATCAACTTCCCAACAAGACCATCATACTATCTCAAGAAAAGTATATCACCAAAATTGAACCAATTCACATCAAGCCCGACAGAAAGAAAATACTAGAGTCAAAAATCAATGAAGATGAACGGCTTGGCCTTCGAGCCTTGATAGGATCTCTGCAGTACGCATCAGTGAACACCAGGCCAGACTTGGCAAGCAGGTTGAGCTACCTCCAGAGTTCAATCAACACTGCAACAATCTCCACACTGAACGAAGCCAACAAAGTACTCCATAATGCCAAGAAACATAAAGATATAACCATCAAGATACAACCAATTGACTTTCAGAAGATCAGGTTTCTGGCCTTTTCAGATGCATCATTTTCCTCGAAGAAACAACCAAATTCACACACAGGAATGATCATCATGACCACACATGCAGATATCGCCAAAAATCATCAAAGCCCAGTAAATCCCATCAGCTGGGGATGCAAGAAAATCCAAAAGGTGGTGGTAAGCACACTGTCAGCCGAAACGATGTCTTTGAATTCCACACTTGACCAATTATCATGGTTACGCTTATACTGGGGTTGGTTTCAAAATCCATGGATAAATTGGAAACAGTCGAAACAAACACTGAAAGAGTTGCCTCCAACATATGCTGCACCTACAGTGAAAGCAGATATCAACTCTATAGCAGTGACAGACTGTAAATCCCTCTATGACCTTGTGACCAGAACTGCACCTCCCAGCTGCCAAGAGTTTCGTACTCAGCTGCAAGCAAGAGCCATAAAGGATCTCTTGAGCGAAAACGTGACTTTAAGATGGGTCCACAGTGGTCCACAAGTGGCAGATGCGTTGACCAAGATAATGGAATGTGCCTTTCTCAGACATGTACTGTCAGTAGGTCACTACCGTTTGCATGACGAGAACCAGACCCTGAAAGATCGTGCAACCTCACGCAACAGAATGCAATGGCTTCAGCAGGATACAAAGGACAAAAACTCTTGAGATTTTATGTTTTGGGAGTGTGAATTTCCAA